TAAACTTTTCCTTTTGGTACCTTCAAGTCCTTTAAATTGCTCAGAGGAGGATTAAGCTGCAGAGAGTTCCCAGTTTTATATCCTGTTTTTCAGTTTTTTACAGATAATATATATTCTTGGACTTGAAGGAAAGCTAACATCAAAGATTTAGTATCTAGAATTTAAGCTCAGGTCCTGCAACAAGTAAAGAGAGAAAGAGTGAGGGCTGTGCATAAAACACCATTAGCAAAGCACAGAATAGTTCTTACTACAATCAACACAGCACACAAGATGAATCTTTGATGAATTGGGCAATTTTTCTACCAATGCTCATTACAAAGGTGGATTTCAAAGACAAGATCTAAAATTAGCAGATATTTTTCAAGATCCAACAGAAATAAATTCCAGATAAGGCAAGAAAATGTCTTCCAAGTCCACCCTGGTAGCTACATACTTTACACCCTCAACAAATATTCCTTGATTAGAAAATAAACAGAAAGAAACACTCTTCATTTTCCTTTCAATATAGGCCTAGGCAGGCCAAAAACACAAATACCGTCTGTAGGGAATAGGTGGTGCTCTAAACACCTATTTGTAAACAGATATATGGAATTCAGAACACATATTCCCATCAGAACAATGTTATGATGGCTGCTAACTCCCAACCTGGCCCTTGAAGCCTATGGAGTCGTGGGAACCACACCAGGCCCGGGTTCTCGGTGAACGGCGCTAAGTGAGGAAACCCATAGTGCTAGGGGAGGAAGAGGCTCTCCTTCCCTTGGACCCAAAGGCTCTCAATTCAGCCCCTCTCCACAGAGGCGCTCCAGCTAAGAGACCTGTTCGGGTCAGACCCTCTTCCCCGGGGATGACCAGGTCCAAAGAGCCAGTCAGAAGGGGAGGAGAGGTTTGAAGGCCCTGCCCCCATGCCGCCTGGTTAGATAGCTCTGCAGGGCCATCCAGCACCAGAGCTCCATCATCACCACATCACAGTTCAACTCCTCCCCCTGCCCTGCTCCCCTCCCTCCGCCATTAGTGACGATGCCAAGAGCAGCCACAGGAAGCCTCCTGCACGTCAATCTCTGTCTCAGAGACTATTTCCAGGACCTAAGACAAACAGCTAACATTTAGTAAGCTCGTTTTATAACTCAGACACTGTTTATAAACATACATACTTACATGTAAGTATGTAATATGTATTATGTACATCATAGGTAAATAGAGATAGGTATCTTACTGCATAAGAATGGATAGGTACTATAATCCCAGTTTAAACATGCAGAAACTGAGGCTCACAGAAGTCAAATGACTTATTCCAGACCACGTGGTAAGTAATTTGCGGAGCCAGGATGTGAATCTAGGTCTACCCAATGCAAAGCCAATCACTATATAAACTAATTCCATTTCCTAGAAAAAGTGGTTAAGTGAGTTGAGGCAGACTCAGCAGGCCAGGGGTGATGGTGGCAGTCAGGAGTGAATGGTAAACATGGCCAATCAGAAAGCAGAAACTTCTAAAAGGACTTGGGATCCAGGCCCACTGAAAATGGGATATTATGATCAAGGGTTCATATAATTTTAGGCCTGAAGCAAAAAAAGAAAAAAAGAAAAAAAAAATATGAAGATCTAATGGAAATAGAATTCCAGAAAGAAACTGCATAGTCATAATCAACTGTGTGATTACGACATCCTAAAAATGATGACTGCAGGCAAATCTTGCCCACCTACAATCAAAGTTTATGCAGACGGATGTTTACCATGTAGGAGGAGGACAGTGGCTCCACAGCTTTTACTACAACTCCTGCAAAAATCTTCATAAACATAAATGAACAGTATCTAAAAATGTTCTAATAGCCCTGCCCTTTAGGGCTCAGTTGGTTGAAGTCCTGCCTAGTACACCAAAGGGTTGAGGGTTCAATTCCCCGTTAGGGCCCATACCCAGGTGGTAGGCTCTATCTCCAGTTGGGGTACATATGGAAGGCAATGTTTCTCTCTCATATTGACATTTTATCTCTCCCTTTTTATGCCTCTGGAATCAATGAAAACATATCATCCCGTGAGGATTAAAACAAATCAGTATACAAAAGTATTAATACATTTCTTATTGGGATACAAAATCCTTACTATTAATATTCAACTTACCCAAGATGGAAAATTGCAACAGTTCAACTTCTTCAACTACAACCAGACCAAACTTCCCTAAGCTTTCCCTAGCTAATAATCTGCTTTTCTAGGATAAGTAGTTATTTATACCTACTGACAAACAGTGAGCAACTAATATTACCCTGCCCTGGTGGCCGCACTGCCCAAGAAGACATGAAACCATTCTATAAACTCTAAACAACTACAAATAAATATTATTAACTTCTAGTGAAGTCATTAAGTTTGTATGCTTGCAATGCAGATCACAACTGACTCAACCAGTGAGAATAAACCTTCTAAAGTTTAATAGAATGTAGATTTACTACATCCTTGGAAAAATTATTTGATTTGTAATATTCATAATCACAAAATCTAATATAAATCACAGTTAAGTAAAAAAAAAAAAAAAAAATACTTAGATATTCCATAATAGTCCCATTAGCCTGGCTAGTATTGCTCAGTGGTTGAGTGTCAACCTATGAACCAGGAGATCATGCTCCAATTCCCTATCAGGGCACGGGCACAGGCTGCCAGCTCGACCCCCACTGGGGGAGCTGCCGATTAATGAAAGATTCTTGCTCTCTTCCTTCCTCTCTGAAATCAATAAAAAATTATCTTTTTTAAAAAATAGCCCCATTAATATCATCTTAAAAATCAAAATAATTGGGCCTTTACAATTAATTTTGAGAGTTGGCACATACTTCTTTGCCCCTTCCTTTAAAAATTCACCAATGCTACTTCTCCCACCCCTACATTGTAATGCACAGCTTTAAATGGCAAAATGAAAAGCATCTGCAATTTCCTTATTTATCCATTTTGCACACAGGTCTCAGCATTCAAGTTCAGTTATTATCAGTAAGAGTTCTCCGAATAAAAGTGGATCGCTCGCTGAGATCTCACACCATGTCAGCACCAAGAATCTGGGGTCATAAAATCCAGCTTCAGTTCTAACACAAGTTAAATTTGTAGTTTCTCGAACCCTGAGTGTGGCACTGTTTTTCCCCCTACTCAATTAATAAAAACAAGTTCCAAATCAGAAATACGTAACTTTGCATAGATATGTACAGAACTGCTAAATATACCTGCTTCTGCCATTTCAGAGGAGAGCGAATAGGGACATCACAACCAGGTTGTTTTCAAATGAGGAGATACCACCAGCCTAAGAACAAAATTCCCTCACACCACCACAAAGTGGTCTAAACCTTTTGGACAAAGAAGAAAAGGAAATAGCTAATTTGAAGCTTCCAAAAAGACAAAAACGGCAAAAAAGGCAAGCCACAACCACCCCCAGAATAGGAATGCAAACTCCATGAAGGAGAAGGTAACCAGGAGGCCCTCTCTCTTGATTACCACTATCTCCTTCACCACTTAACTTGGCACTTGTAACTCAAGGGCTTAGTATTTTTTTTTTAATGAATGAATGGCTGCGAGATCATTGTTTATCACTTACTTTTCTTGAGGAACTTTACTAAAGCTCTTACCAAAGTAGCAAGCCTTTAAAAATGACAAGAACTAGGGGTGGGTGGAGAAAGGACACTTTGAGCCTCACAAGAAGCCTCTGAGGGGACAATATAATCAGTATACTTCTTTTTTTCTAATGTTACAGGCAAGGAAATTGAGGTTCAGAAAGACTGACCTTCCCCAAGATGACAAAGTTCTAAGTCTCGCTCCCCCTCTGTCACATCAAAACCAAAATGAAGTTTAGAGCCAGGAAAACAACAGGACATGGAGAAGACAGTCTGGCCAAATGCTGTCCTATCTATAAACACTCACATTGGCGGTTCAATTTGGGAAACTTCCTATGTCCATACTGCAGAGACACAGCCCATAGAGGCCTATCGTTCTGTTTCTAACCCGCAACACGTCGCTGTGAGTTTCTTCTAAGTGCCGGTGCCCCGATTTAAAAGAGTGACTGATGTGCATCAAGAATGGATTTAAAAAAAAACAAAAAAAAAACTGAAAGCTGCAAGTCAAAAGCTAGAAATAAAGATCTTAAATCTTCTCCCATTCCAGGCTACCTATATTCCCTTCCCCGAAAATCTGGCTGACCACGGGCATTCAAAGGAACTGTCCAGGTGAGCGAAGTGCTCGCTCGCAGCCTCGGGCAAAGCCTGGTCTGTGCAGGGACATCAGCAGTCCTGCCACCTCTCCACCGTTCCGTAGGTGCCCCTCCAAAGCTGCGCTCTTAGGCACTCCCCTAAGAGCAGCAGGCTTCCTTCTAACAACGTGAAGCAGAATTCAATGCATAGTGGATTTTTATTTTTATTTTTTTTAAACTCCGGGCTGAGAACAACGGAAGTCAAGTTCAGATTCTCTTCCTTCCTCAAGCGAGCTGCAGGATTAAAGAGCACACACACGCGCGCGCACACACACACACACACACACACACACACACGCACACGCCCTACACCGCACAAATGTCTCTGCGGCCGCTCCACCTGTGGCCACGGGCACAGCCAGCCTGTACTCGCTGGGACGGAGGGCTCTTCGCTCGGGCAGGGGGAAGGATGAACCGGTGCCCAAGTTTTCAATCGGATCATTCTTCCCAACTTGGGCGGCTCTTCCCCCCTCCCCTCTCCCCCTCCGGCCCGGGGCGCACACACCAGGCTTGGCCAGCGCGGGCACCACGGCGCGGGGCCCGAGGGCAGCGCTGCGGCGCGCGGGCACCCGGGCGCCCCGCGTTGTCCGGGGCGCGGGCTGCCGGGGCCGCGGATCCGCCGCCGCGGCCGCCGCCAGGCGCGGGGGTCCGGGCCGGGGCCGCCGCGGCGGGGCGGAGGGCGGGGTGCGCCCTGCCTGGCTCTCATTGTCCGCGCGCCGCCCGCGCCCCCCGCGCCGGGCCCGTCGGGGAGGAAGTGGGCGCCCGCCCGGTCGCCCCGTCTTCTTACCGTTCTTACCGTCGCCCGCGGCGGCAGCTCCCGCGGCGGCGTTGTTGGCGGCGGCGGCGTTGGCCGCGGCGGCGTTGTTGGCGGCGCCGGTCCCCGCGCCCCCGGTGCCCGCCGCGCCCCCGGTGCCCGGCGCGCCCGCCGCCGCCGCCGCCCCGCAGCCCGCCGCCGCCGCCAGGGCCCCCCCGGCCGCCGCCGCGCCCGCCGCGCCCGCCGCCGCCAGGGCTCCGGCTCCATTTTCCTGCTCGTCGCCGCTGCTGTTGGCGCGCTTGTTTTTGCGTCCGCCTTTACTGTTTTTGGGGTTGGGCATCTCGGGGGGAGGGGGGCGTGCGGGGGGCGCCCGGGGCCGGCGAAGGCGGCTCCCCCCGCGGCGCGGGCGCTCGGGACCCGGAGCGCGGACGGCTCCGGGGCGGAGAGAATGGAGGGCGCGGGCCGGCACCCGTCTAACCCGCCATCCCGCCGCCGCCGCCGCGCCCTGCCCGGCTTCCCGCAGCCGGCGCGCCGCACCGGGGCTCGCAGCCGCGGGTTCGGGGCGCGAGCAGCGGGACTCGCTCGGGGGCCGGAGGGAAAAGGCGGGTCTCCGGCTTGTTTTGATTCGGCTCCGCTGACACGCTCTGGCCCCGCCCCGCCCGTGACGTCACCGGGGACTCGGCCCGGCCGCGCCCAGCAGGTGACCTCACGGCGGCCCGGCCCGCCGCCCGCGTGACATCACGCCCCGCGCGGAGTCGGCCACCTTCCAGTGACGTCATCCTGGCGCTCTCCGCCCTGGCCCCCCTGCAGCTCCCGGGGGAGCCCGGGGAGCCGCCGCCCTTCCTGAAATGGCCCGCATCTCCAGTCTGATGGCATCTGGAGGGATTGGGTGGCCTCCTGGCTTTCATGTAATGGAAGCTGAGCGCACACCCACGGTTGGGAAAAATAGGCGGGTGGGTAGAACAGGAAAGGAACACAAAGGATTTCAGATTTTGGATTAATCATCCATTAAAAAAGCGTTGTTGCCCTTCGGGAGCAGCCTTAGATTCAATACTTGCAGAAATAGGGTTGAATTTCTAGACAATGGCAGTGAACTAACTGCATGCAGGGTCCCTGAAAGCCATCACAGACTAGGGGTGATAGTCATTCACACAGGACTCACCATCCAAGGATGGAACTAAATGTTGCCTGTGACCTAGAAGCAGGCCCTGCTTGGGGGATACCCAATAAGCTGCGGATAGGACTGAGTTGTCCGGGGAGATAGGTGGCCACGTTGTGAGCAGGCAGAGATTAGAAGGTGACACCTGTGATGAGAGGCAATGACCTAAGGGCAGGAGACCCTTGGGAAGACTTGCATATGGTCTTTTTCTGCAACTCTTTTTCTAGTTTTTTGCATATCAGTTCCTTCCCACCCCCAGGGTCCCAACTCCAACATGTCACTTCCTTCAGGGTGATATCACTGAGGAGCCTTCTGAGAAGAGCTATCAGAAGTATCACCTTCTTTATTTCCCTCGTCCATCTCTAATTATTCTGTCATTTTATATGTTTACTTATTGTCTATCTCCTTGCACAAATGAAAGCTCCATGGTGTAGGAGATTTTTTTCCTGTCTTGAGCACCTCCTGAAACAGCTAGCATATATTTGTTGAATGTATACGTTGATTTTTTTCCCATGAACCGTGAAGGAAAAAACTATGCTAGCTGACAGTTTACAGTTTTCCCCACCTATAGTGGGATCTTTAATTAACCCAGCTTTTCAGTAAAAGCTCTCGGTGACTGCATTCCAAAGCATATAGAGACAGGCAGGGAGTACAGGGAAGAATACCCATGCTCACCTAAGCAGGAAACTCTAGGCAAGGTATAGGGAACTCTAGGCATTCAGCACAGTCCAAGGCAGAGCCTGGAGCTGCAGGGAGGAGTGCTGGATACTCAGGAGCAATTGCTGGTTGGATATTTTGTGCCTATATTTTCAAGTCTATTCCCTCCCGCCCTCTGACATCCTCTAAGCATTAGGAGAGCCAGGGTGGTATCTACTTGTCTAACCAACTGTGGAACTTAGAGTAAAGCCTGACCCCACAAAAAGTGTCCAATGAAATTTTGTTTAATGGAGAATGCTTGAAGCATTCTTCTGGCTACATTTTTCTAAATCTTAAAGTTTTAGAAGCCTTTAAACCTCAGCTAAGTCATTGATTCTCTAGGACGTCTTCTCTGAAATCCCAAAGCTAGATTTGTCCCTACGTGCACCCTATACCTTCCCCACAAGCTTGCATACATGGTATTGAAATTGCCTATTTACCTGTCTCTGGGCTCACACTAGGCTATGAGTTTGGTGATGGCAGAAACTGTCTGTCTCAGTTGCCATTGTATCCTTGGTACCTAGGATACAATGACAGCACACATGGTACACAGTAGGTATCACTAAATACATCAATAAATACATCAATAAATAAATGGACAATGCTTTGAAGGTAGATGCAGCATAATTTGGTGGCCACTTGAATATGAAAGATGAAGGGGAGAGTGAAGTCAGGAAATTTTGAAAACTGAAGGAAATGATGATTGTTAATTAAATGGAGACTTGGTGGAGGGGAGGGACAGTATGAGTAGGAACTGTGGACAAAGATAATGAGTTCAGACTTAGCTTAATTTCATTACTGCTATCCCTCACTAGAGGTAGCTGAGCAATCTTAAAATCTTTTGACTATTTGGCTTTGGCCTTTTTATTGTTTTACTTGTCTTTTTTAAAAGTGATAAGGAAGAAAAAGCTTAGGTTAAGAAAACTGAGATAATTATTTTCTTGAATAAGCACATTGCTGTCATGCCATGCCATATTGGATCAGAGTAATTGTGCATGTAGCCTGCAGACAGACATTCACACCAGCTGCCTCCCACCTCTACATAACTGAGACTTACGAATTGGAAACTTTCCCACAAAAATATCATAATTGGCTCAAAGCTCACAGACACACAGACAGTTGCTGTTCTTGTTCATTGTGTGAGCTATCCCCTTCTCATTCAAACTGAAGCAAAACGAAAAGGAGAAGCTGGGTCACTTCTTCATGCTCAACCATGTATTCTATTTTTAGCCTTAGTCAAAAGTTCCAATTTATTGTTTAAAAAAAAATCCTAAAATCAGGATGTAAAAAACAAGAATTAGGTGGGGTTAAAGGATTCTACTTCCTACTTTTATACACCATGTGGAATTTCACCCTTTATCTTCCTCCTTTCCGCCCCTCTCCCAATTCTAAAGGGGGGGAGGGAAGAGAGAGAGAGAGAGAGAGAGAGAGAGAGAGAGAGAGAGAGAGAGAGAGAGAGAGAGAGAGAGAGAGAGAGAAACACGAACGAACTACCTAAAGAGAAAGATGGAGCTGAAACCAGTTTGGCTCAGTGGATAAAGCATCAGCCTATGAACTGAAGGGTCCCAGGTTTGATTCCGGTCAAGGGCATGTACTTTAGTTGTGGGCACATCCCCAGTGGGAGGTGTGCAGGAGGCAACTGATCGATGTTTCTCTCTCATTGATGTTTCTAACTCTCCCTTCCTCTCTGTAAAAAAAAAAATAAATAAATTATATATATATATATATATATATATTTTTTTTTAAAGAAATAGAAAGATGGAAAATGACAGAAAGCCCTCCCCTCACATACTTCCAGAAGGAAAATGTGATGAGCTGTAGGAACCCAAGGACACCACTATAGTCTATGTATCCACCCTTGGCTTCTCTTTCTGTCATTTCCCTGATCAATTGGTGTGTTCTGAAATGAACTTCAAAACAATTGTTTCGGTTTCCTTCCCCCAGAATTTGTCACCCACTCCATCACAGAGGTCTTTACAAAACTGAATAAAACACAGCTACAAATAGGTCATCAAAGTTAAATAATTTATACCCTTGAGAAAAGGGACAAGCTAATCCTCGGGGATGAGTCGGAATAAGTGGCCATTGTTCCAGCATTCTTGTTCTGTTCATTTTTCTGCTTGACATGTGTGCCTGTCTTCTAAACTGTTGGAGGGTCAGCTAGTCATTTGGGCCACAGTTAGCCTGCTGTGGTGATCTGCTAAAGTCACTTTAGGTAAATACAGCTTGAAGAATGTATGTTATCTCTATGTACAGTGTTTTTTTGTGTGTTGTTGTTTTTTTCTGGAAATAGTCTCTCTTGTGCCCACAGGTTTACTTTGAAAAATAGTGATAATTGTGATTATAAGTAAATCTGACAAAAGTGGAATACTTATGCAAGAATAATAGGTTTTATTAAATGTCACAGATCTGCTCTGCCATTTCACTATTCCCAATAATCAATATTACATGTATTAATAATATTGTGTACCCTTAGGAACTTTTCTTTTTCCAGGCTTTAATTTGACTTTTACATTATTTCCCTATTCTAAAAAAGCAGTCATTTAAAAAATCCTGTCGTCAGAGACCCCTGAACTTGCTGCTTACTCCAACCTCCGTGTCTTCTTTGCTCAGACTGCTGTCTCATTCCCCAACAACACTGTTCTGGACCCCAGTAATCTAATCGGATGTTTATTTTAAGAAACAGATCAAGTATAGTCTTTTTTAAGAAAGACTTCCCTGCATTCATTCCACTCAGTACTCTCACTTTTACTTCACACTTGCACATGCTCACCACCTGGCTACAGCAATGTTTTCTAAGTTGTGGTTTAAATTAAACTTTTGCTGATGTTGGATGATTAAATTACATGAATTTAAAATAACTTTAGCAAAATTATTTGTATTTAAATGGTTTCAGTCCTCAATGTTAAAAAACAAAAACAACTATTGGTATTTAAAACCAACACAACAGTATAAAACATTATTGGATCCAATGACCTGCTTCAAGGACACCGTTTTTTTAAGTGTGAAGATACTGCTGTGCCTGTTTCTTTTTTTATTTTTATTTTTTAATATATTTTATTGATTTTTTTACAGAGAGAAGAGAGAGGGATAAAGAGTTAGAAACACCGATTGGAGAGAGACATCGATCAGCTGCCTCTTGCACACCCCCTACTGGGGATGTGTCCGCAACCAAGGTACATGCCCTTGACCAGAATCGAACCTGGGACCTTTTAGTCCGCAGGCCTATGCTCTATCCACTGAGCCAAACCGGTTTTGGCTGCTGTGCCTGTTACTATGAACCGCATCCAGCACAGCCAGTGGTGAACCTGAGGAGGGGCGGTGAAGGACTTAAAAAAACGGGCAAGAGAATATAGTTGGGACCAGATGGATCACTGCACTTGGATGAAGAAACAGTGACACAGCCTGTAAGTGGATCTTTATTTTATAGTCAGATCACACAAAGCATAACAAGGGAGTGGTCAAGATGTTTACAATTTTCTTGCATGTTTCAAATTTAATTGATTACATGCACCTGAGAACTCTATCAAGCTTTGTTTTGGCAGCACTTGCTGCACCTCCTGCAGTCCACATCCCTCAGCTACCTACAACTACAGGCTCAGACATTAAGGACAAGCTTACAATCATAGCCTTTGGCTGTAATTTCTCTGGATGGGCTTTGCCCTCCAAGCTGGGACTTGTATGTGGCTTTTCCCCAAGAGGACCATGTCTGAGGCTTGAACCTGTCCAAATGTTGTAGCCGCTTTCCACATTTCTGGAGTTAATTTTGATTGATCCTGAACAAAATTTTCTCTCAAAATCCCTCCTCTGCCTTTATTTCCACTTAGAACAATTTCTACCAAGAGTATCCTGAGAAACACTTGTTATATAAGACATGCCTCTATTTCTGTGGGTAAGTGAGTCTAGAAAACACTTTTTTATGAG